GTGTCAGAAAAAAAAAGAGAAAAGAAATTATAAATTCTTAAGAGACAAAGATTACTTAACTCAGAAATTAGACAAACAAGCAAATATGTAGGCATAATATACATGGAAAATTTGTCACAATCGTGGCAAATTCTCAGTATTACCCAAAATTAACAACAACAAAAAGTCAGAATTTCTTATTTAACCCCGCAATGAATATTTACACCGTGGGCAATTTTTTATTTACACTGGTCACACCTTTGTGTTTGAAAGTATTTTTCAAAACCTTTTCTGCGGGCTATTAGTCTTTTGTCTTAAGCATTAAGTTGAAAAAAAATAACTGAGCATAGCTTATTATCAAACTTAGATAAAATTAAAAACTTTAAATTACTTTTTTTTTTTTAAAAAAAAGGGGGGGTGGAAACGTCCACAATTTTTATTCTTTAACTACATGGCAATCTTACAAAAAATAAGAAAATTTCTTACTCCGCTTTTCATTCGTTTACGTCATTGTATTAAACTTATTTGACTATCAGGCATTCTGGTTTGTATAATAATCAATATAGAGTTTTATAAAAATTAAAGAATTACATAAAAACTCGGTGATTTTCAAACAAATTTCGCCAAAATAGGTGGCGGCGAAAGTGTTGAAATTAGCTTCAAAAGTTAATTAATATAGCGATATTAAAGACTTAATGATAATTGCTTGTAGAAAGTTTTTAATAGAGATTTTGTGCTCGCAGAAAGTTTTTAATTTTATCTACGCTATACAATAAGCTAATCTCAGTCATTTTTTTAATTCAATGCTCATGAAAAAAAACTGATCACTCACAGAAAAGGTTTTGGAAAGATTACTATTAAACACAAGGGTTAATAAAATTTATACTAAAATAATCTTTTACTTTACTGAACGAATTTTCCAACATCATTTAAAGTATATTCATAAACAAACATTAAAAATTAGATTTACTTAACCATATTGGAATAATATTTACCCTTTATTTTCAGAGCAAATGACAAACTGGTACAATAGTCATATTTTATACCAGTAGGGTGAAAAAGGGGGCGAAAGAGACAATGGCCAAGAGAGACAGGAGAGAATTAAGGGAGATACATTTTTGTTTTGTGTACCTGCCAACTTAGATGCAGAATTAGTTTGCTTATGTTCTACATGACTTTATGCCATTCTTTGTGTTAAGTAAGAAAAACATAAAGATTAGTGAAAGAATTGAAATATTTGTAAAAGAACATAAAATGTGTCACTCTTCAAGAAAGTCATACTTGAAGTGATTGGATTATTCGAAATAGAATGGGAAGAAGTTGCTAACATAAACAAATGCCACATTTCAACCGTACTTCACAATTTTGAGCACTTTCTGCTTTTGGGTACTTGCTCATGACATAAATAGAAATAAGCAATAAGTATTTAAAATACATAATAATGTGTCAGAAAACTATACATAGTTAGCAATTTTTTACATGGTTCAAATATTTTAATTCACTGATAAAGTTAGCATTAATTTAATTTAATTATTTTTAAATAATATTTACTCTTCCTGTAGACTGCATTAATGTTTTTTTTTTTGCATAAAATAATTTACCTATTAAAATGATTCTTTTAATAAATCATAGGTATAACTCGTACTATATAAATACACAGTTTAGAATTGCATCAATTCTTCCTGTACTCATAAATAAGTCTTTTTTAATAAAAAATAATTGCTACAACACAACTACTAGATTTCCTGTACGTACATTTTACACGTAGATAACTACCACATAAAAATTAAATGCATTTAATAAATGTATTTTTGCTTTAAACATGTATACCTTTAACATTGAGAAATTATTTAACTAATGCTTCAAAAAAAATTTTAACTCTAGAATAAAAGTATTTGTATTTCAAGGTGTTCTTTGAAATATCATTACAGCCTAAAAAAATTTTTTAATGAAAAGCTCTGTTTTAACGCAATCAGACCTGCCAACCTTAGAAAATAAAAAAGCAGGAGACCCTTTCTGTATCATGACATAGCGCAATATTGAAAATTAAACCTGATTCGCACTTCCTACAAGAAGTTTATTTCAAAATATATTATTTACACTACATAAAATAGATCACAATAAGATTCTGACACTGACTAATAAAGATATGTGTTCTTACTATAAAATATAAGGTTCTATAGAATTAAATTAAAACACATCTTTTGATTTTTTAAAATTTAGGAAGAGGTCCAAAATTAACAAAATATGTCAATGAGGAGGAATACAATACTTTATAAATGTATTTCCTTTTTTTTTCTTCTTTTTTCTTTTTTTTTAACTGCTACTGTTTTAAAACTGCAGATGTTGCTGATTTAGCATTATTTAAAAAAAACTGCCATCGATAGAAAGTGAAGAAACATTCTGCCTAATGGTGTCCAAGATATCTCCGATTTTGCCATTTCATCGATTATGGCTGCTGTTTTGGTTCACACTCACTGTAATCTTCAGTGATGTTGCTATAGGACGAAGCACAAGTTGGGAAGGAAATTGCACAAATTGTTGTTTTTTTTCCCTCTATCGTGCACTAAATAGAAAAAAGCAGGAGAAAACACCCTGAAGGCCTGAGGGGAAAGATTTGAGGCAAAAGCAGGAGAGTTGGCAGGTCTGCGCAATATCCATAATAGATCCCAATTCATAACTTGAATAGTGGGATCCATATATAGTTTGTCTATAGAGAAAACTCCTCTCCCCGTGAGGTATAAGGCCATCTGCAGCTATAGAAACAAGAAATAGGGTATTTCTAAGAGGGGGGCTTCTCTCTCTCCCCAACCTGAACCAAACCCTGTCTTAAATAATGACCCAACACCAAAGATTTAAATAGTTAAACCTTGTAACCATAGTCACTACTGTTACTCCAGATGAATGGCATGGGGAGTTCTTTACATAGACAAACTATATGCTTGTGCATGCATATAAAAAGGTATTTATTTTACTACATCTGCTTACTGTACAATTTTCTTCATAGCTAAAGATATTTTGCAAAAATCATAAAAAAACACCGTTATTACTGGGTAAGAAAAAGTTAATTTAGTATCAGTTTACATAGTAATGAATTATATAAATTATATTCACTTTTAGTAAAACCAATTTCACTCTATATTTTTAATTCAAAAATTGATTTGTTGAATCATTCTAATCATGAAATATAAAAATATCAGTGTTCATATAATATATTGATAAAAATGAGTGTTATCAATATTAGATCTCACAGTGGAAATGCGTAGCTTTGTGAAGATAACACAGGAACATTTTAGTATCCTTATCTATGTGAAAATAATTGTCTCGGCAACTTAATTATAAAAAAATAAAAAAAAACAGAAGTGACCAATAGATATGGCATAACTCGTTCTATCTTTAGACAAAACTCTACATGTTTTATTCTTTAAATTTCGCAAGTTTAAGTTCTGTTTGGCACCTTGTGGATTGTAAATGGCACGGCAGATAACAATAAGGAAGTTACGGAATTGAATTGTACACCTAACTACATTTTAAGGATAACATACAACCTATAGAACCATTAAGCAACAACTTAAGATAAAGCCATTAACATTACCCACAACATCTGAGTTCACTTACAACAATACTGATCATACTGGCAAGAAAATGAGCGAAATCAAACAACGCTGCAACACAGGATTTTATATAAGATCAATTACACATTAGTATTTAATACTCAGGAATTAGCTTAACTTATTAAGCAATATATATAAATCTGCTGTAAGCATTCAATTTGGCAGTCCATATCGACAGGAAGGTAGATAGGTGGGCAATAAAAACAGGATAAGAAATTTGGATATTAAAATAATTTAATAGCTCAAGATTTAGACTTGAATCTCAAGCAACAAAAATTGTATTGTAAATATTTTCATAAATTTACAAAAATTGTTTTGAAATTAATCCACTTACATTCATGTAGCAGAATATATTTTGTACTAACTTAAAAGTACACTAAGAAAATTTTGTTTTCAAGAAACGAAATTCATAGAGTTAAAAGTGCTACTCGATTTTGCTGCTTGGTGTTATGCTAGTTTTCTACTTATTAAGTCTTAAATCTAAGAAGAAAACATGCAGTAGAGAGGAGAAAACAAGCACAAACTTACGTAGAAAACAAGCACAAACTTAAGTAGAAAACAAGCACAACAGACTATTTTAAATATTTTAAAATAATTTGTTTTAAAATAATAATAATCTCAGTATTTACATAATAGATACATTTTTGGAATAACTGAATCACTGGACAATAAAACTGAATTATAATGCAATAATAATAAACAGATTACATCATGATACAGGTATGTAAAAATTGAAACCGCTATAAATTTAAAAGTAAAATTGAATTATAATAATTGAAAAGGAAATATTTTCACTGAATTAGTTTGTGTTTGTTTAAAAATTAAAAATAAACTTTGCACCTATACTAAGCCCAATCTGAAATAATTTAATCCTTCAATTAAAAATCAAGTAATAAATATTTAATAAATCATATGCAAAAAAGTTATAATAATTGTGTAAATTATTACATGCAACTATATGCTTTTGAACGCAAAAATTATCAAATTATTGAGAGAAAATCTTCTTAATTTATAAATTGTTCAAAGAAATAACCTAAGTTAACGCAGCAAAATAAGTCATTTAACAGTAGAAAAAAAATATATTAACCGTTCACACCCAAACAACAATCACAATTTACCCTTTAAGATTTAGCCTTAAGAGGTAGCTAAGAAATTTTTTAATTAGTACTAATTGCATCATCAGCGGAACACTTCAAAAGTACTTAGAATTTTTTCAGCACCTTACAGCTATTCTACCTGTCTGTCAGCCTTGAGGGTGTGATACATGTGCGCCATCTTGAAATGTGTAAACATAAATATTAGGTTTTATACAAGGTGTTACAGTGTACATAGCCGTTAAAATTTAAAATGGACGAGACATTAATCTGAGAGATTATACATGAGCATAAAAAAACAATCTAAACAAACCTCATTGGGTTCCGACAGCCAAAATATATCCAATCGGTTAGCATTCCATTGGTCAATAATATTCTTTAACTTCTCCCTTTCTTGGGCTTTCTTATCACGATCATTTGCCATAATTAAAACGATGACGAATTTTCGGTATAATTATTGTTTGGACGGTTTATACACTTGAAATTGTAAAAAATACACACATAATCTCTTTACGGACACAGAACACATATAGGCACCATTCCACTACAAAAAACACATTTTATTGTTTGTCGACATGCGACGACGTAGAGCTTCGTAAACAGGCAAACCTACTGAATTTGAAAACTAAATGCGCAGGATTGACAAGCGCCACCAGACGACGCGAAAACGTAACTGCCAGATGGCGCTTTTGCCAGAGGAAATCGTTTGAAATTGCACAGAGCATATCTAGGGCAAAGGCATCCGACAAAAATTTTATTAGCTTTTTTCTCCAAGTCATAGAACACACATTACAAGTATTATGTACTACTACATGTCCTTAATATGCTCTTTTTCTAATAATCACCCAAAATAAATTTTAAAAAATTAGCAAAATTCAATGTTTTGGACTTGTTAATCACTACCAGACTTGCTCCTGCGTTACCTCGGAAAGTCAAAAGTAGTTAAATAAGCGAAGACTTAGGAGTTTAAAACAGAGTTTGCTTCTTTTTAAAGCATTGTTTAAATTGTTGGCGCTCAATGACGGTGGCATTCAGACATGTTAAAAAGATCGAGAGTGTTGTGGCAAATAAATTTAAAAAGTACTACGAGATGCTCAGCGTTTTTCTTCCTCCGGTCCATTTAGATTAAAGTGACGTGATTAATATTAATGTAAAAGATCAGAAATCAAATAGAGAAACTAAATTTAAAAGCCAAAAATTGGAAGGATTGGAACAAAACTGTTCAGTTAGTCAAGGCTTACAGCGAGCTGTAGTAATATATAAGAGAATAAATAAATTTTTTTAAAAGAAAAGAAGAAAAAAAAATTGCAAACATTGAAGAAAATGCATTTTAACCATAAGCCCCTTCAACCCTAACACTCTTATTTCATTTTTCTTTGCGCATTCTTAGAAAGTTTTTGATCTCAAAAATTAAAATTAAGTTGATTCAATTAAGGGATTGCAAAAAGACGAGAGAGGAAAAGCAATATGAAATATTGAAAAATAGCTGAACAATATTATGCTGCATTAACTAACAATATTTTTATTTAAATGCTGCTTCACAATTAGGTGTCACCCCGGGATATCCCAAAAAAAATTAAAATTCGTAATTTTCTTTAATTGCTATAGTTTTTATTTTTAAATAATTAGAAATCATGCTTGTTACGTGTCATATTGAATCATCTCCGCCTCATAAAAAGGGCACCATAGAGTTATCGAAATTCTTTGAAAAATTTTGATTTTGAAAAGAAACAGGAAAATAATTTTATAAGATTACGAACACCCTTGCCGCTGCATGAGATTAATTGTATCAAATTTAACATTATATAATAATAAAATTATTATTAAGTTATTTCAATCTTTAATAAAGTGAATTAATACTATATCTTTAGATAAACTAGTCAGAAAATACAGCATTTGCAAACTGTTGAAATAATCTTACAAAGAAGAAATGATAGTAATAATTTTTTTTTAAAAAAAGAAAGATTAAATCAACACATAAAAAATATTAATCAAATATGAAATGACAATATCTATTTATAATAGAATGCGCATTTTCAATGGCATATTAAAGATGTAGTAAGTAATCCATAAAATAAAAAAAATTAATTAAAATGAGGTTATGAAAAGCTGAGATGGCAAAACTCATTTTCCAAATATCATTTTAATTGACATTAAACACTTAAAAAGTAAATTATATTAATAAGCAACACTGAAAGCTCTTAATTGCCAAAAATAAGTGTTAAGGAAACTTAGTGAGTCAAATTATCTTTCAGTATCCCGTAAATCCGAAGAATTTAATGCCTGTATGACTAAATAAAAATTTTATGATTTTGAAATATATATTTCCTTTGTTAACTAAATTGATTTGGAATTAAAAGTGATTTGTTTACAGGAGGAAAAGTAATAAAACTGCACATTTCACCAGCAACAACTTTTAAGTTTCTCAGAAACAATGCAGATGCTTTGTAGAGGATTTACAAAAAATTTTTAAAAAATTAAGAAAATGCAACACTAGTTGGAGTATAATCGGTCATACTTACTTCTTTTATACATAACTTGTTATGAATATTTCGATTAAAAAAAGCATAAAAATTCCTAAAATCTTAAACACGTCAATTAATCCATCCTTTGAACAATTGTAAATACTTCAATTAGATGTATAATTTCCGTTTCAATGTGATAATTCATAGCTTTTTTAAACATAAGAAAAGTCTTTAATTTATTTATGAAATTTTGATTATAAACAAAAATTGTATTGCAAATTAATGCAAAATAAAAATAATTAAAAAACTTTTTATTTGAAAAATAATTTATTAACCAAATAAGCACACATAAGACTTTTTCAATTTGTATGATTTTGCATCTCATTTTCTTTTTGTATATATCAAATAAACCAACTTACATGCCATAGTTGGTCATTTATCAGAATTCCCGCTAAATTTCTAAAAAGAAGGAAGAAAGAAAATGAAAAATGTTTTGTACAATAAGACACCCACTAAAATCTAAACGTATGAAAAATCACAATTTAACATGCATTAATATAAAATCACTACTGTCCTTATGTACTGGTGTCAACCATGAATTGTGTTACAAAGGATGAAAAGAAAATCTAGGAATAAACTTGGGGGATTTGCATGGAAGGATTTACTTTAAACATTTTGAAACACACAAATTTTAGAGATTTCTTAAAGTTTATATTTTAATTTTCATGTCAGTTCTAAACTATAAACTGTCTGAGAAGAAACATGATGCTTTTAATGTTTGTAATACTGAATGCGAAATAAAATATGATAAAAACATACTAATTTTTAAGTTGATTACTGACCTACAAATTGTTAGGACTCTAGTATGAAATCACTTCATCAAATATAAATTGTTTATTTATTTCTAAATAGCAGTGTTTTATTGTTTTGTCCATACAGACATGTGATTGCTGAAAAAAGAAATTATTTGAATTTTTTTTCCTCAATGTAGTTTTTTTCTTTAAGTACATACTTAATTTTTTAAAATCTTTTTTTACGAAGAAAATAAATAAGAGACTTTCATTTTTATGCATACATAAAAGAATATATATATATTTAAAAAATTACATGTTCCTCCTTTTTTTTTTTGCATTTTGCAAGTCGTCGTTTCAAATATATATATGTAGAAATTGAAATCTACTGTAACTGAAAAAAGATTAATGATTAAATCAAGTGTAGTTACAGCACACGAATCAAAAAGGAGTTAATTAAATATACCTTTCAAGATTCATGCGTTATAATAAATAATATCGAGATTTTTGAAAATGGGAGAAAATAAGTACGATAACTGCCGAATATTCGATTGATAAAGTGATAGAATTATCGCGTCAAACAGTAAATACTTATGTGCGCGATTTCAATTACCGTATCATATAATTATATGGGGACAAAATCAACAAGCATTGACCTCAAAAAAAGTATCAAAACGCCACATGGATTTAGCGCACATTGATAGCATTAAAAGATAATTACTTAAACGTGCGATTTGAACTTCTCGTTTCTTAATAATATATGACACTATTGGAATTTAAAAAACTACGAAATGATCAGTAGCAATAACTGCGAGAAAGATTTAAAAAAAAAAAAAAAAAACAGTGATATCATCGAGTCAGAAATTGACTAATGAATCCACGAACTGAATTTTGTGAGTCATTATAATGTGCCCACACACACAAGTACAACCAATACAGAGATTTAAAAAAAATAAATAAATTAGTAATTGAAATCCACGGTACTAACTGAAAAAAGATTAATGAATAAATCAAGTGTAATTACAACGAAATCACACGAATCGGGGGCGCCAAAAAGTAGTTAATTAAATATAAGCTTCAAGATTCACTCGTTATAATAAATAATATTGTATTAAAAATAGCGAGATTTCGAAAATTAGGCGAAAATAAATACTGATAACTGCCGAATAATCGATTGAGTGATAGAATTATCGCGTCAAATAGTAAATACTTAGGTGCGCGATTTCAATTTCCCGTATCATATAATTATATCGGGAAAAAATCAACAAGCATTAACCCCACAAAAAAAGAAGAAAAAAAAAACAGTGGTATCATCGAGTCAAAAATTGACTAAATGCAGGAATTGAATTTTGTGGGCCAGTATGTGAAAGTACAAACAATGCAGGGATTAAAAAAAAAAGAGAGAGAATATTCGTAACAAAATAAAAGTTGATAAAAGGATTGAAGCATCGCATTGATGCTTTATCTGTACGCCAAATCGAGAGTCCATGTCAATGTCGTATGATCATATTAAAAATTTATTCGATCTAATTGTAGACAAATAAAAAAGGGGACAAATATAATTCTTCGGTTACAAATTGTAATTTGCAACAAAATTGCTACTCAGTAAAATATGTTTTTTTAAAAAAAATTTCTCGCTAGTGAACGATATTTTAAATGTTATATACTTCTGTGTTTGCCTCAGTAGTTCCTCGTGTTGTTGAAGTTTATCCAAAGTTGTGTTTTTCTGCGACAAATCTGCATACAAAAAAATTGTTATCGAGCGTGAATGAGAAGATTAAAAAAAAAAAAAAAAAAAAAAAAACCCACNAAAAAAAAAAAAAAAAAAAAAAAAAAAAAAACGTGCTGGTAAGGGTGGAATAAATATCTCGTTAACGTAAAAAATGTCGTAAGTAACTAAATCCAAATTTTAGATTAGCGGAACTCCGAGAAAATTTTGTCGGAACATATCACATGCCTGTTATGCGTTTAATTAAACATAGCAATGAAAAATTTGTGAAATGGTTAAAAGTTTTGTCTTTAATTCAAGTTTCTATATAAATTCAGCTTGTTTATAAATACAGTTTAATTTTTAAAAAATTTAATTCGAAATTTTATTGCTCCTACTGTTGGTAAACTTATAAACTATTTTTAATTTCATTTTTAAAAAAAATGCTAATTTATGAAATAAATTGAATTTTTTTTGCATGGATAAAAAAAAGTTAGAAAAAGTAATAAAGAATTATAGATTAAGATGGAATTGAAAACCAAGATTCTGAAATAAAAATTGATAATAATAAAAATAAGATCACATTATATTTGAAAAAAAAATAAAAATTTAAATTTTATTTTTTAATAGTGAATGTTTGAAAAGTAAAAAATAAATTTTAAAATATGAAACCTTATTTTTTTTAAAAATTCATGTCGAAATTTTATTGCTCATTAAGACACCTTTAATGTTGTTACAACATAATGGTCTCTAAAGCAAGTACAACTATTGCTTATTCAAAACTTTTCAAATGAAAATCCAGATAATTCAAAAAAAAATATAGGTGTATTTTTTCCCCTTGCTTTAAAAAAATTCTCGTTCCAGTTATTCTTTACTCGAATAATTCTTACCTTATAAAACATTAAACCACAAGTTTTTTTTTTTTTTGTTGAAACATTAAGCTAAGAAAGCATCATGTTGGATTGCCTCTTGAGCTCCATTATATTTGAGAAAAACACTGTTTCACGTAATAGTATACAGTACAACTAGTCTTGTGTCTAATTTGAAGAATTAGATACTGGAAATGAGGTGCACTTGAATTGAAACACTAATTTTAAAAAAATGCTTAACAAAAAAAGTTTATTTTTAGAGAAATTAAGACCTCACAGTTTAGTCTGAATTTTTTTTGTTGAAACATAACAAAGTCAGGGTCCAGTAAGGTGCCTATTCCTAGCTGCAATGAATTGGTGACATCGAATTTCCATGCTTCAAATTAGGTTGTAGGACACTGGAATGGGATGCAAAGACTAGCTCAAGAGGAAGATGAATTAAAGCAGCAATTTGTCTGCCACAACATTCACAATTAAGTAAAAAATCACAAACAAGGTAGTAACAAACATTCTCAAAGTTCTAGAACCAACTGAATCCATAAAAAAGCAGTCATAGGATTCCAAGAAAACACCTCTATATTCCTGTAACAGTGCTTTCACCAAAGATAATGAAGATCAAGAGACGACCCATGATACTTACATAATAGCTAATTTCTCAAACATTGAGAATACCCCAATCGATACTTTTACACAAAAAGAGTCATTATGGATCTTTAACCTATCCTCGATTCTCTTAGAAATTAGCCATTTTGAATGTGAGACTGATTTTTAAAAAAAAATTATTTCAATGTTTGACAAGATAGCAACTATTTTGGTAAAGTAGAACGTGTAAGTAAATTTTTAAAATGTTCGAGAAACGTAAAAGGATTATCAAAATAAAGAAAAAATACAGGATTATCAAAATAAAGAATACACAGATATTTTTTTTAAATATCTAAAATGCCATTTGAAAAGTTTTGAATAAGCAACAGCATAGTTAATATGCAAGCTTAATTTAATCCTTTATTTTACTATGATGATTTTTTAAAAATAATACGATATCCTTAATCCTAGAACTAGTATTTTTTGTTAATTACTTAGAACTCAATTTCGCATTCATTATCATTTTATAAAAAGCTTCATGCAAGGAGCTTTAATAAAAGACTTGCTTTTAAATAACAGGAAGTGAAAATGAGATTTTAAAAGTTAAAATTAAAACAAAAGGACAATTTCCTAGAGTTTAAAACTCAACATCTATCAACAGCAATTAAAAACACAATAAATAAATTTTATTTAATTTAGTACAAAAATATTAATTTATATTAAACAATATTTACAGAGAATTTAAACATATTATTATAGCTGAGATCGAACTCTTTCCATTAGTTGTTTCATTTGCAGTTGAGTCACAGGATAACACTTCATGATACATGGTTTAGATTCAGAAGACAATTGAAGATCCATCAGGCAATTATAGTCCTGAAGAGTCGATTTACATTTAGAAATAGCCTGCAAAAAGTTTGAATTTCTTTAAATAAAAGCAATTAAAAAAGCAAATCAGCAGAAAATATTATCAAAACATTTTTTCTAAATATCTAGTTTTTTTAATTAATAAATAATCAAATAAATAATAGTTTCTTATTTTGTTAGAAATTTTTGAATGCAAATGATAGCTGATTTAGACAATTTTCATAATTATTTACGAGGAGTGGCTGAAGTANAAGCATTAACCCCAAAAAAATTATTAAAGCGCCACATGGATTTAGCGCACATTGACAGCGTCAAAATATAATTACTTAAATGTGCGATTTGAATTTCTCGTTTCTTAATAATATATGAAAACATTGGAATTTGAAAAACTACGTGGAGATTAGTAGCAATAACTGTGAAAAAGATTAAAAATAAACAGAGGTATCATCGAGTCAAAAAGACTAATAAATGCACGAATTGAATTTTGTGGGTCGTTATAATGTGCAAGTACAAACAGTACAGGGATTTAAAAAAAAAACATTGAGAAAATTCATAACAATTAAAGCAGACAAAAAGGGATGATATCTGCATACGCCAACTCGAGCGAACAAAAGCGATTACTTAAATGCGCGATTCAAATTTGTGTCGTAATATCGAAATTTTAAATACCGTGCGAAAATCAATTGCATTAACTGCAAAATGAGGGAAAAAATTAAAACACGGATTTGCGATCATATCGAGTGCGTTGAAAAGTGATTACTGAAATGTGTGATTCAAAACTTTCATGTCGTATGATCGTACTCAGAGTCTGATTAAGGCAGGGGCAGTTGCCCAGGCCCCACATCAGAGGGGGGCCCCAAATAGAATAGAAAGTTTATTTTACACTTAATGAACTTTTTTTAAACAAAACAGCAGTGCAGTGTAAAATCCGTTTTATGATAGCGTCTTCATTAATCCATCTTATGAACACAAAAAATCTATATTTCCATGGCTTTCTAGGGCGGAATTTAGCTAAATTTTCACACTTACGATGGACAAATAAGGCCAAACAAAAGCCTATATTTTTACATATCGCAAAGTGCAATATGTTTACAAAAGTACGGGCTTCCTTTTGGCTTAATTGAGCCATCGTAATTGCGAAAATTTAGCTGAATTCTGCCCTAATGTCAGCAAGGATATGAATTTTTCGTAGCTAGATGACAAAGTTAACAATCAATTAACCCATTAACTGTTTTGTACTTCTTTAATCCAGTTAATTTAAAGGAAATAACAAATTTTGTCTCTTTAGATGTGATATCCTCTTAATGATGGACATAGAATTGTTAGAAAACCAATAAATGAACAGAACGATATTTCGTCTGACTATTGATGGGGGGGATTTATAGCTATTTTAGGTTCTAGTCAATTTTCTTATCATATATCTATAAGGAGGTAAAAAATTTAAACACCTCCATAAAGTTCGGTTCCTCATTATTGAAGCAGAGGGGGGGGGGCAAAGAAGTTTTTGCCCTGGGCCTCAATTGGGCCCTGATCATACTAAAAATTTATTCGACCTAATTGTAGACAAATAAAAGAGGGAGTAAATATATCACATTGATTAAATAATTCTTCTGTGACATATTGTAATTAACAACAAAATTGCTACCCAGTAAAAATTTTATTTAAAAAAAAATATTTCATTCCAGTGAACGATTTTTCAAATTTTTTATACTTTTGTGTTTGCCTTATTAATTTTAGCTGAAGTTATTAAAGATTTTTTTATATTTGTAGTCTCGTGTTGCTACAGTTTATCCAAAGTTTCTGCATACAAAAGATTGTTATTGCGCTTAAATTAGAACTTAAGAAGGGGGAAAAAAAACGTGGTGGTAAGGGCGAAATAAATATCTCATTAACGTGATAAATGTCGTAAGTAACGAAATTTAAATTTCAGAAAAGCGAACTCCCAGGAAATTTTGTCATAAATATCACATGCCTGCTATGCGTTTAATTAAAGATTTATTTTTAAAAAAATGATGTCGAAATTTTATTGCTCTTATAGTTGGTAAACTTATAAATTATTTCTTATTACATTTAAAATATTTTTTTATTTATGAAATGTAATTTCTTGGATTTTTTTTGCACCTATAAAAAAAAAGTTAGAAAAAATGATAAACAATTACAGATTAAGATGGAATTGAAAATCAAGATTCTGAAATAAAAAGAAAAATTGATATTAATTAAATAAAATCACATATTTGAAAAAAAAAAAATTTAAAAATTGAAACTTTATTTTTTTATAGTGTGTATTTGAAAGAAAAAAAAATGAAACTTTTCTTTTAAAAATTCAAGCTGAAATTTTATTGCTAAGCAATCAAAAGCTTAATCAAAATAAAGAATAAAAATACACAGATTTTTTTTTAAAAATAATATCTAAAATTTAATTTTAAAAGTTTTGAATAAACAACAGCATAGTTAATGAGAAGTTTAATTTAATCATTTATTTTACAATGCTGATTTTTAAAAAATTATATTATATCCTTAACCCTAGAAGAATTCATTATTATTATTTTGTTAATTACCGTGAAACTCAATTTTGCATTCATTATCATTTTATAAAAACCTTTATGCAAAAAGCGTTAATAAAAGACTTGCTTTTAAATAGTGGGAAGTGAAAATGAGATTTTTAAAAGTTAAAATTAAAACAAAAGGACTATTATCTAGAATTAAAAACACAATAAATAAATTTTATTTAATTTAGTACAAAAATATAAATTAATATTGAACAATATTTACAGAGAATTTAAACACATTATTGTAGCTGAGATCGAACTCTTTCCATTAGTTGTTTCATTTGCAGTTGAGTCACAGGATAGCACTTCATGATACATGGTTTAGAATCAGAAGACAATTGAAGATCCATGAGGCAATTATAGTCCTGAAGAGTCGATTTGCATTTAGAAATAGCCTGCAAAAAGTTTTAATTTCTTTAAATAAAAGCACTTAAAAAAGCAAATCAGCAAAAAGTATTATCAAAAAATTTTTCTAAATATCGAGTTTTTTTAATTAATAAACAATAGTTTCTTATTTTGTTAGAAATTTTTGAATGCAAATGATAGCTGATTTAGACAATTTTCATAATTGTTTATGAGGAGTGGTTGAATTATATATAACTGTAAAGCTTAATTTAAACTGTTGTATGACGTTTTTTATTAAAACAATGAATAACAATAAATATATAAAGTAGAGTTTAAGAATTAAAAAAAAAACAAGTCTTTACAGTTTAAAATAATAAAAAAAAATCAACTAGGCAAATAAATTAAAAATTACACTGTTGTACAATGGACAAGATGATATTGACAGTGTGGGAAAATATGCGAACATCCTGAATAAAAAATTTAGAATAAGAAAGTATAGTGCAAAAAAAAAAAAAAAAGGGAAATACCTGGAAAAACTTTTGATCCAATGATCAGATTTTCACGTACTAAGGTTCAAACTTAATGGTTAACTAGGGTGATTTCAAATATGCTAATTAATAAAAATGTCATTTTAAGTTACAAAAACAGATAAAAAAATACGTACACTCTCAGCATAAACATATATCTTTTAAAAGCAAATTTGGATTCCTCATCCTTCAGGTATGGAAAATATGGCTCCAATAGTTTGATTATGAGAGCTGGCTGAAGTTCGGATCCCAATGTTAATTTTTCTTTAAGCATATTAAGAAATTCTTTTACGCGAATCGCAAAACTTTTGTGCATAATTATAAAATTCGTTTATCCAAAGATAAAAGGTTTAGCCCTGCAAAAAATTAGTTTTACTAATTATTTATTACTATTTTAATTCAAAATTTTGAATTGTAAGTTTTACTAATTTTTACATCATAATAAACAATGAAATTTTAAATGGCAAAATATAAAATTTGAACAAAAACAGCTGAATAGTTCCTGCAAAATCAAATTTTAAAAAAGTTGTATAAGTGCAATTCGATTTCTCAGGAACTATTTGAACAATTTTGTTCAAGTTTGACACATAAAATTAAATGCTTTAAAATGATGTAAAAATTTCTAAGCCTGACAATTAATAAAATTTTGTTTCAAATTTTTTAAATTAAATAATAAACTTCTGCACTAATTAATTAGCATATTTGAGGTCAACCCCCTGGACCATTAAGTATGAGTTCTAGTATATGAAAACTGATCATTAGATGAAAAGTTATTATTGGGTTTCGTTTTTTGCGTACTGCACAATGATAGAATTTCAAATAAAAATGTATAATTTCAATATTTATTCAGAATAGTTGAGCTTAGAACAATACAGTTAAACGTAAATAAACAAATATTTCACATTTTCAATATAAATAAAATTACCATAGCAATTTCTTTTCGTTTTTCTTGATCCTGAGCAGCTTGTTTCTGCAATTTCTTTAAAAAAGAAAAAAAAAAAAGCTAACATGCAATTACTAAATTCAAGGAAGATACATAATTAAAATAAATAATAATAATGTTAAATATTAAAAGACTTACAACCATTTCCACAGCGGATACTCCAATAATACCCTCTAAGACCTGCAACCATAATTTTAATATTAGCTCAAGTAAATATTATGAAATGGTGAAAAAAAATGTTTTGACAGCAAGACATTTATTTCACAACACACCACTTATAATAATTGTAAAAATACTTAGTAATATAATGATAAAATATTTTCAATTTAATAACTCATAAAAACTAAACAACAAGTATAAAATGCATAGTAAATAATGTCATTAAAATTTGAGTAATTAATAGTCAAATTTAACATTTAGCATTACTTGTAAATGTGAAACACAAAATTTTATTTTGTGAGCAGTTTTTTGTTTGACTTTTAGGTTAAGTAAAGTAATAACTAAAATTATGATGATTCAGTGCTCCCCAATCTTTTTATCACCACGGACCTGTCAACGTTTGATAATTTCACTGTGGCCCACTGGAGGGGGGGGGGACATTGATTGCTTATATTTTAGATTATTTTGATTTATTAATTTTAACTAAATTGTATTTAAACATGCCTTCAAAATAAAATACAGTTACACCAAAAAATAAATATAAAGTGGTTTAACATTTTAACTTACTAGAACGTTAAAATCAATTAGTCACATTCGAGAGAGAAGACGAAGTTTTTCATTAGTTCCAATATAAATTTCTGGTGGCGATTTCGTGTTTTATTTATGATATTTACAGTTATGATTTTGTACCAATTGTATAACAGAGATGCCAGCTTGCTTCGGACAGCAAATATATATTTTAAAGTGGTAGTTTATCAATTGTGATTCCTGGTTTAATAAATTCAATTTAGCAGATTTTTATTCACCACTATTCCTAAATAATTCGTAGGATTATATAATTCACCACTTTACAGTATTTATTTCGTACTAGACCTTTTAAAAAGCAGGCAAAAACAGTCAAATATTTGCAATATTTACTTTGTAGTTATTTACCGTTTTTTTAAATTATTTTGGCGCGTCCGGAGCAGTTGGCATCTCTGGTATAATATTAAAATCCAGAGCTAACTTTTATTAAAAGAGGTGCAATTGCATTAATTACATAATATTGTAAATATTGCTGAACTACCTTTAATTAAAAGGAATCACAATGGGGCAGTGGCTAAAGTATTGACCGCAGGTTATAAAGCTGGAAAAGGCCTGCACTCTAGTTAGCTTCATCTGAATGAGTACTAGCTTGCTTGGAAAGTAAACAAGACTGGTATAAAATGCTAACCACAGTGCTGCCATCATGATGAATAGTCTCAAAATTGAGGAGATTTAACCTCCATATGTGTGTGCTTTACTTTACCTTTCAAAATATTATGTCTTATTTACCAATGTTGGAGCAATTTATTGGCTGTTTATTCAGGGCAAAGCTTTGAATTATGAAACACAATTTTTTGTGTGACTCTATTCATAGACATCTTTCAGCGACAACAAGTTCAAAACTACAGTCTAACAGTATTGTATAAAGTATTTAATATCTAAATTACATTTAACTCGAAGTATTATAATTTAATTCTATTTAACTTACCTTATCATGGATGTTTGCATCAAGAGTTGCAGTACCGTCATTGATTTTTACGCACAGATTCCAGCCTTTATCAATGGTACATTCCAATTTTGACAAAACTTTAATAATGAAGCCCTGAAAATCATAAAATTACCGTATTAGCCATAACATATTATTTACACAACTGATATTATGTAAAACTAGGATGCCAACTTGTAGCAATGCTTTTTCATAATTATTGGGTTAATTTTTTCTTACATTTTCCACAATGATATTAAAGTTTAAAATGAAACATTTACACTTATAAGTTACAGTTTTCATAAAACATAAGCTCCAATATATTGAATTGTTCCCAAAGTTTAAAATTTGTATTTTGCTAGAAAATGTTGACAAAAAATGAATAAATAAGATTAATAGTTGACAGTTCAGTGTAATTAAAAATATGGCTCTAAATGAAAGAACAATGTGTTTTCGTTATTGATCAACATTTTAAGTCCTGTCGTGTCATTTCCAGGTTATGCAATATCTGATTTTATTGCTCAGAAGATCTCGGAAGACACAGACAATCTCATTTAATTCTTTCAGACTTTTTTCTTTATTCTTTTTGAAGCCTAAAGCCAAGGGGGTAAAAAAACATGCTTTGAAGGATGAAATTGAGTATCATACCTACCAAATTCAACAATGCAAAATGGTTATTGAAAATGAGGGCAAAAGAGTTTGTACATGTCAGCGAAATCATGGAGGACATTTACCTAAAATGCTATTCCACACACACCCCAATATTTTTTGATAGAATAAAAAAATAAAAATTTTCAATTGAAAATGTGTTTTCTATCAAAATTACTTCTAAGGTCAATTTGGAACACCCTATACGAGTAATAGCAATTAAAATTTATAGTAAGAATCATGAAAATTCTCCTTCGATCACTAAACAAAAACATAGAAATATAAAGGTTCACAAATATTTAAAAAAATATAGTGCCATAAAATAGAAACAAAAAATAAAAATTAAATATTTTTTGTTATGTTCATTACTAAATTGATAGAATTTTCATAATAATAAACATGATACAATTTATGTATTTTTTATGCTTTTTCAAAGATGCTTAGTTTGAACATAATGTGTTTTAAAGTGCAAAAGCATTGTTAAAAAACTTAAGAAACTTATTAAAAATCTGGCTTTGAGGTACAACTCATATGGCCACCATATATCTTTATGTTAAAATTGATATTACTATTTAAAAATCAACTTTAAGCTCAAATGTTATCTAGATACCCACTGGAAGCAATTTTAAAACGCTCTAAAGGTTCGAACAAAAGAAATATTCTTCCATACAAAATCAAATAAAAATTGAAGTTAAAAAAATTATAAGAAATCTTGTTTTAAGGTACAACTCATATGGTCACCATACACCTGTGTGTTAAATTCAGCATTAGTATTTAAACTTTGACTTATAAGCACAAATTGTATTAAGAAGCACATTAGAAACGATTTTGAAATACTCTAAATGTTCTAGTAAAAAAAAATGTTCTTTCATAAAAAAATAAATAAGTAAATAAAAAACTAATAAAAAATCTGGCCTTGAAGTGCAATTTATATGGTCACCACGTTAAATTTAGTATTAGTATTTAAAGTTCGATCCATAAGCCCTAATTGAACACTGGAAACGATTTTGAAGTACTCGAAATGTTCTAGCAGAGGAAATATTCTTTCATAAAAAAACACAATTAACTTTACATTAATTATATAACAAAAAGAAGTATGATAATAGATGACACAGTATACGTCTGCAATTGTGAACTCAGCCTTCAAACCACTAAGCTATATTAAAGCTATAATGTTATTATTTCAAGAAAAACTAGCGAAATATTCCAAATATAAAGTATTAATTACAAAATAGATACCATAAGAATAAAGAAAAGAAACATACTGAAAGAGAAAAAATATAAGTATTCTAAAAGAACAAGTCATACTAAAACACTACCCTTATTTAAATAAATAATTGAATTGAAAGTAATATTAATTGTAAAAAAAAATATAACAAAATAAATGCATGTATAGTTGCATGGTTATGAAAGCATAGAGTAAGTTTATGCAATTGTAATCAATAAGTATATTTTTGTCCATTTTTTTTTTCAATTTTAAAATATTTGTAAGCTTAAAAACACTGGTACAATTGAGTAAAAAAATATAGAAAATTGAAAGAATTTTTCAAGATTAGTAGCCACTGACAATACATTTATTGCACTTGAAAAATATATGAATTGATTTTATAGTATTATCACACTCTTCATATGTCACTTGAACATATCTAGAAATAGAGAATTACTTTTAAACCATTATGCAGCAACAGCATCTTTTAAATATTTTATAGCACACTTTAATAATACATATTACAAAAAAAGAAAAGAAAACAAATTTTGATTTTGGCATGTTTCATAAATTTTGATGCAAATTTTATATAATACATACCTTAATTGTTACTATACAATCACTTAGATTTTGATTTAGCGCAGCTGATAAATAAGTAAATGGTAACTTTCTCAAAGAATCTAAATGTGGGGGGAAAAAAGATTTAGATTTTACAATAAAAATAATTTTATTATCACAATAAAAACAAATTACATTCTTAAAACACGTGATAAAAAAAAAACATTTTTTACATCTCTGTATAATACAAACTATAAGTAATTCATGGCCTAGTTTAGTTATTGATTATTATTTATTGATAATTATATATTGAATGTTATATAATTCATTATAAACAAAACAAAATTAAAACACACAGTTACAATAATTAAATTTCACATATAAAAGAAAATAAATGAATAAAAAAATGTCTATCTGCTAAATAAATGCAAAATGATTAATTAATTTTATTTATTATAACTGTTTTTAACTAAGCTGAATTTGAATTATTGATTCCTGAAAATTTTTTTCTTACTATTGTTGAAATATTAAGGGGGAGATAATAATAATTGGGATGACATTCTATTTAATAATTAGGACATATATTCCTGATATTTTTATCAATACCTACTTCCTTTGCTATCCTGCTTTTATAAAAATTCCTTTGTGAAGGTTACCAATAAATACAGCATGCTTTGTTTCATTACAAGTAATATCAAAAGATTTAGCAACAATCCATAATATGATTAAGAGTTAAACTATGATATGCTTAAAAAAAAAAAAGGCTTTTTCAAATAATCCAAAAAGCTCATCATTAAAAAAAAAAAAAAAAATTCAAAGAGTATTATTTAAAAATAGCATGCATCACGTGGCATAGTCGTATTTTAAATCAAAAGTACAAAAGCAGCATAAATATTACCAGGTTGTAAACTGGTACTCTCCATTGGATTTTCATCAGGAATTTCAAAGGGCATTTCAAACACTGGACTTTCCTCTTGAAAATTCATCAAGTCTTGAAGAACATCTTCATCTTCCTGCCAAATATTATCAGTTTCAGGAACACCTGCAACATTCTGGGAAAAAAAATACATACAAATTTTAACTGTTTTTCTTTATTTTATAGAAATAGTATAATTTATTATCACAATAATTTTTTTAAAATGAAATACAAAAAAAAAAAAAANAAAAAAAAAAAAAAAAAAAAAAAAAAAAAAAAAAAAAAAAAAAAAAAAAAAAAAAAAAAAAAAAAAAAATGACAGGTAAACTAATCTACAATAGAGTTTATCAATATATTTTATCCTTTTGTAGCATATCTCTTACCTCTTTTAAAATTTTATTTGATAAATTTTTATTTGGCGAGATGAATTCAATATTTTTATTTCAAAATCTCACCTTCCTTGAACACAAGCTAATTTTTTTCCACCTATATCACACTCAATTTGCTTCAATATTAATAGTCAAATTATAATATTTTAATGGAAAAATTAGTTAAAAAGGAATTTGCATTAGTTTATTTATTATTTATATTATTAATTACACATTGAATGCAACTTTCAACATAATTATTGATTAATTGATCAGTTAATTGAACTAAAGGCACATGCTTTTGAAGTGTTCAGTAGGATTTTTAAAAGTAGAAAAGGAACTTTTCTTTTGTAAGGAAGAAGATAAGTGATTATAAGCACATTGTTTTAAGAAGGAAATGCCTTTATTTTTTTGCTTTAATGTATTCACACCAGAAATAAATAAAAATGATTTCCACTTAAACCTTATTCATATAAAACCTTTCTCATATTTCCTTTTTTATATTGCTCACTTGTGACTTGGAAGTTTGTCATAATAGCAGACTTGTCGAAATACGCTGTACTACTTGTTATAGCAAGTTTTCACTGTGTTAAAGGAACGACAAGGCAACCCGATATACATAAATAAGCCATACCAACAATTTTTCAATGAAAAGGTTAAATTAATTTTCTACCAATCAAGCACATAGAAAATCATGTTTCAACATTGATTCTCCTGAGGAAAGCAAAATACAATTTCCTGTGTTATTTACATACAGAAAAGAATGCTAGAATGAAAGACATGTTTACATACAGAAAAAGACATGTAAGAAAAGAATGCTAGAATGAAAGACATGTTTACATATAGAAAAGACTAAATAACATGCATACAGTGTAATTTAGATACAGTAAAGGTATAAATAAGATATGTAATCTTCCAAAATTTACTAAACTACCAGGTTAAACTAAAGTCTATGCTTAATATTTAAAAAGTTTTGAACTGCAACTTTTTCAGAAAATTTTTGTCCTCTCATTTCCTATGCAAATAATGGATTAAAAAATATAATTTAAATCTAATTTAAGCGATTGACAAAAAAGTAAAACTATTCTTATTTTACTATTGTATGTAAGAGAAATTATATTGTTGTATCATGCTTTACTATTAATTTTCTAATTTACTGGAAAAATGGTATTCAACACACTAGGTTTTCAACCAAAGCTTTGTTCTAATAAAGTGTTTCTAAAATTTAAGTAGGGCACATATATCTAAATTATATGTTGGACATATTATATGTTGGTCATTAAAAGAGTTTTATAACAATAAAAGAATGATTGTGAATTAGTAAAGACTAATAATTAATGTTCACACCAGCAAATAAAATTTAGTGGTCCAAAAAATTTATATGGTAGACAAACTTGAGAAAAATCAAACTTAACAATTACAATAATTCATGTTATGGTACACATCAAAAATTATTTAAAAAACTAAGTGCCCTAAAACTAAGTTCATTAGCCCATAATGATCAAATATTGGTAGTTATTAGAATAAAGTGTAAAAAAGCTTAACTAATATTAGTAAATAGAGTCAACATAAAGATTAAAATGCAGAGACCAGATAAATAAATAAATGTAGAAAACAGAGAAAGTAAAAACTAACAAAATATTATTCTAAAAATTAAATATCAAAATATTATAAAATTTTAAATTAACTAAACTAAACTCAGTGCCACGACAGCCCATAGAGGGCCAAGGCCTACTGTGCCCATCTCAGTTTCCTTGACCTTGGGCTCTGGGGTGCAGGGGCAGATGTTCCGGCTAGGTGGTCCGCAGAACGCGAAGCCCCCAGTGTTTAGTTCCCAAGCATGCTTGGTACTCATTTATCGACCGACTGAAGGGATGAAAGGCTGAATTAAACTTGCCCAGCCCGAGGATCGAACCCAGGACCTGTGGCATGGGAGCGCAAAGCGCTACCACTCAGCCACTGGGCGACAAAATTTTAAATTAAGTATTAAAAAAAATTTAAAAGAGCAAATAATATTATTTTATAAATAAACAATTTTACTGCCAGTACATGAATCCAAAACACAGCAAAACATGCAAANTGATGTTAAAATTTTCTTTATCGACATATCGAACGCATAACGATAATTGCTCTATACCTGCAATATCAGTTGTTTCATCTGCAAGAATGGAAAAGCAAGTTGCATCATTAATCTTGCTGACTAGTTTTTGCAGGATTAAAATATTGCAAACCTCAATAACTTCGTTCTGAAATCGAGGGCTGGTATACTGAGCATTTTTTCTGCTTGACTCTAAAATGTTCTTAAGAGTCGAATCGTTCTTACTCCGGAAACGAAGCAAAGCCCAAAAATTTCCGTCGTTCTCTTCACCTGGTTGTTCAGTAATTATTCCCGAATCCTTATGTTCTCTTAGAGCGAGACCTAGATTTCCACAAAATAGGATGGTTTCAATGATTGGAGTAATGTTTTTTCTATTTTCTAATTTTCTTCTGCTTGCTGCACTGTCAACTTGTTCATCCACAGGTTTCATCTTTCCAAATAAATCGTTTAATGTCCCAGCAGTTTCGATCGATTTTTTGTGATAAAGACATTTCTCGTGTTCAGACAGCATTTTTCCAGTTGTCAAATTTTACATTGCACAGTTGGCCTAAAGGTTGCTTTCCAGAACCGGCACAACTTGGGGCGAAAAGTACACAAAATTTGCAAAAAGCACCACCCTTAACCTCTGAATATGCAAGCCATTTCCAGCGATAAAGCCATTTGTACTGAAATTTCTTTTTCCTTTTTCAGGAAAAACAAATGCTGGATTGGGTTCCCAAACATTTTTAAGTATATCCAGTTTTTTATCCTCGCATGTATTATCTTCTGAAAAAAGTCCAATGTCATATGGGTGGGAAGTAACACTTTGAGGGCCGCTTTCACATTCATCAGATTCTGTTACGCTAGAAACGTTTTCTTCAACGGAAGTATCACATTTCTGTTCAACAGAAAAACTTACATTGGTACTAGATGCTGTCACCTCACTAATTTCAGGTCGTGATTTTTTCTCAAAGTAATTAAAAATTGTTAAATTCTTGCGTTTAGACATCCTAAAGATCCAAGAACAGCAAAAATATATACATATATATTGGCATAGAAATATCCACTAAGCTACGATCTCAAAGTTTCGAGCTGGAATGAATAACTTCAACGAGAAAACAAAACAGATTTAGAAACAAGCTCCGAAGGACAAGCGGCAGAGATAACTCTTAGTCTGACTAAAATCGAAGATAAATGTAACCCCCTTTCATATAATTTTTTTTAACCGCATTTATAAAATTCTCGAATTGTCTCAAAGACGACAGAACGTCTAGGATTCCAGACCTCGCGAATGCCAGCCAGTCTCGAATACTATCGCGACTGGCAGGTCAGAAAGGAACCAGTGATCGGGGCTCGCCCGTAACAGTATCACTTGAATTTGGTTTCAAAAATACAATCCTATTATAGTAAATGTTTTATCAGTATTCTGAGAAATACCGTGAGAAAAAAAAAGTAGGCATATGGCAAATAAAAATATATAGTCCTAAAAAATAATAACCCGCATAATTTCTACTAAATTTTTTTTTTTTGTCTGTATTATTTTGTAAATTCACTTTGTCTGAGCTCAAGGAGGAGGGGTTTAAACCCCTAACCCCCCCTTGCATACGTCCCTGACACAGTATACGTCTGCAGTTGTGAACTCAGCTTTCAAACCACTAAGCTATATTAGAGCTATAATGCTATTATTTCAAGATAAACTAGCGAAATATTCCAAAAATAAAGTATTAATTACAAAACAGATACCATAAGAATAAAGAAAGGAAGCATACTGAGGGGAAAAAATATAAGTATTCTAAAAGTACAAGTCATACTAAAACACTACCCTTATTTAAATAAATATTTGAATTAAAAGTAATATTAATTGTAAAAAAAAAAAATATAACAAAATAAATGCATGGTTATAAAAGCGTACAGTAAGTTTATGCAATTGTAATCAATAAGTATATTTTTGTCCATATTTGTAAGCTTAAAAACACTGGTACAATTGAGTAAAAAAATATAGAAAGTTGAAAGAATTTTTCAAGATTAGTAGCCACTGACAATAAATTTATTGCACTTAAAAAATACATGAATTGATTTTATAGTATTATCACACTCTTCATTTGTTACTTGAACATATCCAGAAATAGAGGATTACTTTTAAACCATTATGCAGCAACAACATCTTATAAATATTTTATAACACACTTTAATAATATTACAAAAAAAGAAAATAAAACAAATTTTGATTTTGGCATGTTTCATAAATTTTGATGCAAATTTTATAATACATACCTTAATTGTTACTATACAATCACTTAGATTTTGATTAAGTGCAGCTGATAAATAAGTAAATGGTGATTTTCGTAGAGAATCTAAATATAGGGGGGGGAATTTAGATTTTACAATATAAATAATTTTATTATCAGAATAAAAACAAGTTACATTCTTAAAACATATAATAAAAAATCATATTTTTATATCTCAGTATAACACAAACTATAAGAAACTAATGACCTACTTTAGTTATTGATTATTATTTATTGATAATTATATATTGAATAGTTTATAATTCATTATAAACAAAACAAATTAAAACACACAGTTACAATAACTCTAAATTTCACATTAAAAAAATGAATAAAATTTTTTCTATCTATCTGCTAAATAAATGCAAAATGATTAATTAATTTTATTTATTATAACTGTTTTTAACTAAGCTGAGTTTGAATTATTGATTCCTGAACATTTTTTTCTTACTATTGTTGAAATATTACGGGGGAGATAATAATAATTGGGATGACATTCTATTTAATAATTAGGACATTTATTCCTGATATTTTTATCAGTACCTACTTCCTTTGATATCCTGCTTTTATAAAAAAAATTTCGTGAAGGTTCCCAATAAATACAGCATGCTTTGTTCTGTTACATGTAATATCAGAAGATTTAGCAAAATCCATTTAAATATGATTATGAAGAATTAAACTATGATATGTTTTAAAAGGCTTTTTCAAATAATCCAAAAAGTTCATCATTAAAAAAAAAAATTCAAAGAGTATTATTTAAAAATAGCATGCATCATGCAGTATAGTCGTATTTTAAATCAAAAGTACAAAAGCAGCATAAACATTACCAGGTTGTAAACTGGTACTTTCCATTGGATTTTCATCAGGAATTTCAAACGGCATTTCAAACACTGGACTTTCCTCTTGAAAATTCATCAAGTCTTGAAGAACATCTTCATCTTCCTGCCAAATATTATCAGTTTCCGGAACACCTGCAACGCTCTGGAAAAAAATTACATACAGATTTAAACTGTTCTTTATTTTATTTTATAGAAACAGCATAATTTATTATTACAATAATTTATTTGAAATGAAATACAAAAAAAAAAAAAAAATGACAGGTAAACTAAACTACAATATCAATAAATGTTATCCTTTTGTAGCATATCTCTAACCTCCTTTAATATTTTATTTGATAAATTTTTATTTGGCAAGACGAATTCAATATTTTTATTTCAAAATCTTACCTTCCTTGAACACAAGCTAATTTTTCTCCACCTATATCACAGTCAATTTGTTTCAATACTAATAGTCAAATTATAATATTTTAATGGAAAAATTAGTTAAAAAAGAATTTGTATTAGTATTACTATTTGTATTGGTAATATTTTTTGTATTAGTATTATTTGTATTTTTTTACTTATTATTTATATTATTACACATTGAATGCAACTTTCAACATAATTATTAATGAATTGAACAGTAAATTGAACTAAATGTGCATTCTTTTGAAGTGCTCAGCAGGATTTTTCAAAAGTAGAAAAAGAACTTTTTTTTTTGTAAGGAAGAAGATAAGTGATTATAAGCACATTATTTTAAAAAGGAAATGCTTTTATTTTTTGCTTTAATATATTGACGCCAGAAATAAATAAAAAGATTTTCATTTAAACTTTTTTCATATAAAACCTTTCTCATATTTCCTTTTTCATATTGCTCACTTAAACAGTAGAAAAAACTATTCCCCTGAAAACCTTTTTGTCATTACTGTGGAAAGAGAGCATTTTTTAACTCTATAAGTACAAAATTTGAATACAAAATGGTGACTTGGAAGTTTGTCATAATAATGGACTTGTCGAAATACGCTGTACTACTTGCTATAGCAAGTTTTCACTGTATGTGTGAATGTAACGATAAAGCATTAGGATATACATAAATCAGCCATACCAACAATTTTTGAATGAAAAGGTTAAATTAATTTATCTAACAATTGCGCACATAGAAAATCATGTTTCAACATTGATTCTCCTCAGGAATGCAAAAGATAATTTCTTGTTTATTTAAAAATAGAAAAAACATGTAAGAAAAGAATGTTAAAATGAAAGACACGTTTACATATATAGAAGAGACATGTAAAAAAAAAACGCTTACAAATAAAAAAACGCTTAAAAAAGACATGCTTACAAATAGAAAAGACTAAAAAACATGCACACGCTGTAATTTAGATACAAAAAAGTCATAAATAAGATATGTAACCTTGCATAATCACTAAACTACCGAGGGGTTAAACTAAAGTCTATGGTTCCTGCTTAATATTTAAAAAGTTCTGAACTGTAACTTTTTCAGAAAATTTTTGTCCTCTCATTTTCTATGCAAATAAATAGAGTAGATTAAAAATACAATTTAAATCTAATTTAAGCGATTGACAAAAACGTAAAACTATTCTTACTTTACTATTGTATGTAAGAGAAGTTATATTGTTGCATCATGCCTTACTATTAATTTTCTAATTTACTGGAAAAATGGTTTTCAACACACTAGGTTTTCAACCAAAGCTTTATTCTAATAAAGTATTTCTAAAATTTAAGTAGGGCACATACATTATATCCAAATTATATGTTGGACATATATGTCATTAAAAGGGTTTTATAATAATAAAAGAATGACTGTGAATTAGCAAAGACTAATAATTAGGGTTCACACCAGCAATTAAAATTTAGTGGTCCAAAAAATTAATATGGTAGACTAACTTGAGGGAAATCAAACTTAACAATTACAATAATTCATGTTATGGTACACATCAAAAATTATTTAAAAAAGCTAAGAGCCCTAAAACTAAGTTCATTAGCCCATAATGATCAAAGATTGGTAGTTATTAGAATAAAGTGCAAAAAAGCTTAACTAATATTAGTAAATAGAATCAACATAAAGATTAAAATGCAGAGACCACATAAATAAATAAATGTAGAAAACAGAGAAAGCAAAAACTAACAAAATATTATTATCAAAATATAAAATTTTAAATTAACTAAATTAAACTCAGTGGCGCGACAGCCCATAGAGAGCCAAGGACTACTGTGCCCTTCTCAGTTTTCTTGACCTTGGGCTCTGGGGTGTAGGAGCAGATGTTCCGGTTAGGTGGTCAGCAGAACGCGAAACCCCCAGTGTTTAGTTCCTAAGCATGCTTGGTACTCATTTATCGACCCACTGAAGGGATGAAAGGCTGAGTCAAACTTGCCCGTCCCGAGGATCGAACCCAGGACCAGAGATGCCAACTTGCTTTGGACAGTAAATATATATTATAAAGTGGTAGTTTGTCAATTGTGATTCTTGGTTTAATAAATTCAATTTAGTAGATTGTTATCCACCACTATTTCTATACAATTCGTAGACTTATATAATTCACCACTTTAGAGTATTTATGTCATGCTATACCCTTCAAAAAGCAAGCAAAAACAGTCAAATATTTGCAAAAATTACTTTGTAGTTATCTACCGTTTATTTAATTATTTTGGCTTGTCCAAAGCAGTTGGCATCTCTGCAGGACCTGTGGTACGGGAGCGCAAAGGGCTACTGGTAGAACAAATACTTTTTAAATGCATAGAGTTCCATGCAAAAAACTATTTTTCTGTACTATTTCGTTAATTGCAAAATTTCAAGATTGTAAATTTGTCGCTTTTGCATATGATTTTAGGGACATTTGGTGACAATTGTTACCATGGCTTGAACTCTACTAATAATAGAGTACAGTATATTATCTACTTCAAACATCTTACATTATGACATAATAAACATGATTATTTCTATATAATTTAATATTTTTGCCCTGCAAATTAAAAATTAGGAGAAACACAATCATATTGAAATAGCAACATATTTCATATTAATAAGAAAACTTCTCTGAACAGTAAGTAAACAAATAAAAANTGTTATTAATAAAAAACAAAAAGTGCAGCTGGTGGTCTGTCGTTATTTACTAAAATATCAAGCGTGTTGGTTTTAGGCCAACACTTCTGTTATTCCACTTTCTGATGAATACCCCATGTTTGAATTCCATTCCACACATAGAGCAATAAAATTGGTAGAACAAATACTTTTTAAATGCATAGAGTTCTATGCAAAAAACTATTTTTCTGTACTATTTTGTAAATTGAAAAATTTCAAGATTGTAAATTTGTCGCTTTTGCATATGATTTTAGGGACATTTGGCGACAATTGTTACCATGGCTTGAACTCTACTAATAATAGAGTACAGTATATTATCTATTTCAAACATCTTACATTATGACATAATAAACATGATTATTTCTATATAATTTAATATTTTTGCCCTGCAAATTAAAAATTAGGAGAAACACAATCATATTGAAATAGCAACATATTTCATATTAATAAGCAAACTTCTCTGAACAGTAAGTAAACAAATAAAAAATATTAAACTATATCTGATGGAAATAAACACAAATAAAAAATATAATAAATATTAATACCTGACTCTGTGTTGAGCTGATCTCCTTTTCCAATTCATCAATAGCTTCATAATTCAAACTTTGAACAAAATCATCATCTTCATCATCAAAAGCATTCAAATCATCAATCCCATCTTGATTTACACCAACAACTTGATTTGGGGAGCTGAAATAGTTCCTCAAAGTGTTCGTTGTCCCATTGTTTCGTCTATTAGAAGTCTTCCTGGATACAGCACTCCCACGAGTTGATACATTCCTAGGATTACCATCGTTTTGTCTGAATGATGAAACTGAATGTTGCTGAATGATATCAGTGTTTTCAGGGGGTAAAGATACATCTTCAATCTCAGTACTAGGCTGCACAGCATTGTTTACATCTAAATTATTATTTTCCGTTAATGATTCCTCAGGCGCGGGAAGGTTCCTAAAAATAAGATGACCATATACAAAATCATACATGCTACATATACTTAGAGGTTCATCAAATTGTATAGATGCCGAAATCAGCATGATTTTGAATTATAAACCATAGTCACTGAAAAGTCGCATAGTTTTTATTTTTCAGCCTAATGTCTCTATTTAACAGTTTTATGTTGTTGTTTTTTTCTCAAGCAACTTAATTTTCTTTTTAATTCTAAAATCCCTAAAGCTACATTTTCAAGACTATTCTTTTTAATTCTAAGAATCTTTTTAGCAACATATTCAAGACTACTCTTTTCAATTCTGAGAAATTTTTAGCAACTTACCTAAGAATATCTTGACTTTGCAAGATTTTGTTTTATTAACAGCATTGAACTTTATTGTAAGCTGCTTGAGTATTTAAGGTAAAACAAAAAACAAACTTATATATTGATGGTGATATATATTGATGGTGATATTGATGGTGACTGTATATTGATGGTGACTTATATTGATGGTGACTGTACATTAAAAAATATTCTAAAAGTGGGTGAATCTATGAAATTTGATTAAGATGCAAAAAAAAAATATATATATAAAGAAAGCTAGACTAAATCAGATCCTGGCATTTAGAGATAGGATAGTATTAGAGAAATTTTTAGAACTTACAAGAAAGCAAGGCAGCTTTGCTACCTTATTCAGAAGACTATGAAAAAGCTGTATCCTGATAAGGCAAAAATTTTACTAAACAAAAACAGTTGAATGGTAAACTTCAGCACTAAATTCATTTTGATAATCACTATGATGGTGAATATGGATATAAAGCAACTTTTTAAAATCTTTATTGCAAAATATTAAATTAAAACAAGCAAAAAAAAATGCTAAGTTTTTTTTCTTCCCCAAACTAAGATTTTCTGTTTTAATTGTTTTCTAGGATGCCTGCTAACTGTTTGCACAATTAAAAAAAAAAAAAAAATTTTTTTTTGCATAACTTTAAAAACATTTCACGTAATTTGTAGGTCCATACATACACTACATCATCCCATTAATAAAATCTAGCAACCACAGAATTAAAAAAATATAATATAGCAGCTAAATTTATTGATTTTTTAGGTATTATTATGCTGAAATTTATAAATGGTTTTATAACTTTACTTACTTATTTTTACTGTAATGGTGATCAAATTTTGTTCCACCTTAATTTGCCCTATCCATTTTATTTATTAGGCTACTTTATCATGTACAGTATCAATAGAAAGTTTTTAGATGTGAGATTTAAATGAGCCTGTAACTAAATCAAACCATAGAGGCAAATTAATTCTTTTTTTATTCAAATGATTCTTTTTGAAAGAATATATGAGGAAAAATTTTTCTGTATTTTGTTTCAACATTTAAATTGGCTATAATATAGTGTTAATGTGACAGTTTTTTAAATTTTTTTTAAATCTATTTGANTTTGCTCATCTTAAATCTAGAAGGGTACCTTTGCAATCAACATAGAATTAATCTAAGGATTTTAAGTTAAGCGAGTTACTTTTGTAGATTATTTTTTATATTTCCTATTTTTTTATAGCTAGTAACTAAATAAAAATAAATTTAGAACCTTGTTTGTCTTTCTTTATCTATTGTAACTAAATAGTGTTTTCTCAAGGTCATAGGGGCCCCATGATCCTAATGTGCCCAGGGCCTCAAATAGTTTAAAGACGGCCCTGCATTCAGGCACTTACAGGGAAGATATTAGACGAACCAATGTTGCTCCCAAAGTAAGGACAGATAATAAAAGAACAACCACGCCTTGCCCGGGATTTGAACCCAAAACCTTTCTGATGCAAGACCACTTTCCTGACCCCTACACAGTTCAGTCTGCACTAACACAATATCAGTAATACCTATTAACACAATTAATTAAACAATATTGGGGCTATAATATAATAGCTTTATGAAGACTCCTTTAATACACAAATATAAAATATTTATATATACATATATATATTGAAAAAAAAAATTTCTGTGTTTTCAACCTATTTTAAATTCTACTTTACCTTGAAAGATGCTTAACACGATGAAATATCATTTTCAAAAAAATTAATAATTAACAAATAAACTAAATAATTTTGAGAATTAGCGATTTATCAAACACAAAGTATTTACTTACAGCATTTGTCTGAGCAAAGCTTGTTGAGAGAACTGTTCTAACTTGCTTTCTACTTCTCCTCCTAAAACCTTTATTTTTTCAGGTGTAAGTAAAATTACTCCAAATCGACAATCAACTGGACCTTGAATCAAAACCTAGATAAAAAATTATTTTGTTTCTTTATAGAGATCATAAGAAAAACTGTAAATTGAGATTTATATTAGAATACATACACAAAAATAGGCAGAAAAAATTCAAGAAGTATATCAGAGGGAATTTCAAAAGTTCAAGAAATGTTGATGTTCTTTCCAATAAAACAGTCAGTAAATCATTTTATTTTCTTACAGATATAGTTAGAAAAAAACTGGATATTTTAACAGATCATTTTTTATATTACATTTACATAGCTGCACACTCTCCCTGTTTTCGCAGAAGATTTTATTTTCCTATAGTGGTAGCTAAACTCATGTTATTCCATTAAACTTTTTGAATTATAATAATAATTATAAATGGGCTTGACCACCACTACATGTAAATAATTACAACAAATGTATAAAAGCATAGTCTTTACTGTAGTGAATTTCAACCTGGTCAAAATATAAATACAGTAGAGAGCCGATTATCCGAACTGCTCGGGACCGAACGTGGTTCGGATAACGAAAAGATCGGATAACTGGAAAGTTGATTAAAATCTAGTTTAAATTATTATTATTTATGCACTAACTTCTCTTCAAACTTTTTGTAGGCTTAGGACTGGTAGTACTATCTAAAATAGCTCAGGCATGTTTAAAAGGTTTTTTTTCAATTTTTAAATATTTTTTATTTATTTTTTTAAACTTTTTTTTTCATTTTGAATTATTTTTATCATATTTCAGTTTTTTATAATTTTTTTGTCAATTACTGTGTCTCGATACCAGTCTTCTATTTCTTCTGCTGTATAACCTGGCATCTTTTCATCCGGAAGATCTGTTGGTTCAGAAACTTCAGTTTCGTATGTTTTTCTGTTAAGAATTTTATTCCAAGATTTTATATTCCAAGCACTGTAATCACTAATCATTAACCATAAGGGACAACTATCCATCCTCAATTATAGAACTTCAGCACTTATCTATTCATAAACTCCTTCATTCCATTGCAGACTGTCAAAATGAAGCTCGCATTCTTGGAAGATAATTTTCAGTTGAAGAGGGCTAAAGGGATATGTAGGTTTAACTGTATAACAATACATGTATGTATAGCTACTATAATAAAACTGCTAAAAAAGGTTGTAAATTAAATATGGTCTTCAGATGTAAGGGATATTATTTATTCTTCTAAATTTAGAAAAATTGTCAATAAGTTAAAAAGTATTCAAAACTTTAAAAAAAATCGAATTGTGACAATGTTCGGATAATTGGACGTTCGGATAATAAGGGTTCGGATAATCGGCGCTCTACTGTATATTTTTGAGTAAGATTGTTTTTCCGAAATTGCTTTACTACTACATACTATGAAAATCCATTTTCGGAAAGAATGAAAGTTGACAGGTATGAATTTAGAGTTAACTAATCTATGCCAAGGTTCATAAACAAAAGTGGTGGAGGCTTCAAGAAAAATTTTAAAATTTAAGGACCAAATATGCTCAACTGGGTAAATATTTATACTTTTGTACTTACCTTTAATTCTTTTACAGTGATGGAAATTGAAATTCATATTTCAACAGATCAATTTCTATATTATACACAATCCAAATCAGGGTTCATAAACAAAAGAGGAGGGGAGATGAATTCAGTTCCAATACAATATATCATTTTCCAATTAGCAATCAGACACATTAAGAAGAAAAAAAATTCCACAGGAAAAATGTTGCTTTTTTTAAGTTTATTATTTTTTTTAATAAGATGTCTAAAAGACTGAAACATGATAGGTCAGCTCGATGCATAATTTTTTAGATTGTGATTTTTTAGAATTAGTAAGTTTTTTTCATTAATCATTATTAAATAAAAAAAAATACATGTAAGCATTTCAAACGGAAAAGTATTAAAATAAAGTTTTGAAATATATCAAAACTATGCATTCAAAAATTTTGTGAATAACCCCTGAGTTAAATAACAATTTAAAATAAAATAAGAATAACTGATAAAAGGATAGACAGCAATCTGAAAGCAAAGTGCAATTCAACTTAAATTAATATACAATCAAAACTATACTATCAAAAATTTAGTGAATAACCCCAGTGTATAATGACTATTTAAAATAAAATAATAATAATTGTTAAAAGGATAGAAACAATCTGAAAACAAAGTGCAATTCAACGTAAATTAATATACAATCAAAACTATACTATAAAAAATTTAGTGAATAACTGTATAATGACTATTTAAAATAAAATAATAATAATTGATAAAAGGATAGACAGCAATCTGAAAAATAAAAGCAATACAACTTTAATTAATAATGAAAACTATTAGTGAAAAATGGAAATTTTTAGTTTTTATGAAAATCATGTAAAAAAAAAATTAAAGGCAATGAGAAAAAAACTTTCATCACTCTGATTGAAGAGTAGCATTTCAGTCTCTACTCTTAGAAAATAAAAATGTCGCTGCTACAAAAAATTTGGGAAAAAATGCCTGCAATCGAAACCAAAAACACACATTGAAAGGTTCCAAAAACAACTCGAATAATCACAGATCGTTTCAGGTACAAAATTAAAGTTATTTATAACAGACAATAAACTAACAATACAATAAATAAAATTACAATTTTTTTTAAAAATAAGAGCTCAAACAGGATGCACACAGCAGTATTTAACATTTATATCAGTCATATTTTGGATTTCTGAATGTGAATAAATAGATTTGGTTATTTAAAATTAAAAAAAAAAAAATTTAATATGGAAATAAGATTTTATTTCTTTTAAAAATTCATCTTCTACAGTAACCTATATGTCATACACCTACTGAGCAACAACCTTGGGGTCAAGTACCTGCTATTGACTTATATGATGAAAAGAGGTGTTTAATGTTGAGGTGAAAAAAACTAATTCTGTAAAAAGGGCGGGATTAACATGAATGAAGTTATTTTATTTTATAACGCGTTGAACAGCTGATTCAAATTTGAGTTCATAACTATCAATGTTCAACTCCGTAACCTTGTAATTTGGAATCCAACCCAGAACACTAAGAAACTAATGGATCAAGCACCTGAACTAAATATGACTTTTTGATGGAACTAACCCACATATGCGTTATATGGAGAGGAAAACCACAGAAATCTCCCAATTTTACGCTAGCACTACAGTCAGACTGAGCTGGGGGAAGAAAACAACCAACCACCACTGAGATTCAAACCTGGCTTGCCTCATGAAAGCTTTATCCCCTGAGCAACCAAGGCTATGAGTGAAGTTACTAAACTTTACTAAATTTAATAGATGGTTAGAAATGGTGATACCTTAACTCCAGGTGGAAGAGATAGTGATAATGTGTTGATTGGCCTATACTCCATACCTTGAACTGTAGTACATCCATCTGTTAAATTTAGCATGAGCATTCGGGTAGGTTTAGCTTCCCACTGAAATTAGTGATGGTCTTTAATACAATATGTAATAAAGGAAAAAAAGGATTTAAGAAATAGCTTATAGTATTCCATATAGTAAAATTGTTATTGGTAGACATTAATAATCATTATTATCATAAAAAATTAAGATAACTGATTTTTAATTAAGAGATTAGGTAGCAGTTAACACACACAATTGGAAACAAATGTTAATATTACTCTACATGTTTAAAAAAAATCAAAATTTTAGCTTGGAATGCACGAAATGACTATTAGTTTTTTTTATTCAAAATTGTTTGCTTTATTTTTTTTTAAAAATAATAAAATGAAGAAAAGTTTAACATTTACTTCCATAAAAAAAGAATTTTCCTTCTTTTTTTTATTACTGTTAATCAAAATAGTGTTTCTTATTTTGTGTGAGTAGGTTTTATGCATCGAGGTAGGAAATTTTAGAAAGTATTGCTTAATTTAAACACATAATTTTTCGTTGACAGTTGCCCCTTTTGTAATATTACGATCCATAAAAAATATAAATGCTTTGTAATCAGGGAGACATCACTTTTTTATCAATAGAATTATGTATCCCAATAAAATATTTTTCAAAGAATTAAAACAGTGGATTCCAAATTCTTTTTTTGGGCTATGGAATGCTAAATGACCAAACCTCCTTATGCAGAACCCAAAGCAAGAGATAACATGAAAATGAATCAAATAAACTTAATTACGTGTTTTGTTGAAATGAAAACAACAAAAAAAAACTGTTATAAATATTGAGAATGGTTATCAGAGTAGCATATTCATTTTATTTTGAATTGTAAAGCTCGATGAGAAATATTAAAGCAAATCTTTTACAAATGCATGTGGTTAAATATATAGATAATTACTTCTTTCAAAAATCATTATTCATTAAAAATTCTAACTCTTGGAAGTTCTGTGAACCTTCAAAACAACTCTAGGGTTCTGCAAAACACTATTTAGGAACCACTGAATTAAAAAATAGTTAAATATTCTAATAGTTATGTTAAGTTTGGCTATAACAAATCAAATGTTTACATTTATGCAACATTAAATAACAGCATATAATTATTTGATTTCACAATTACATTCTCATAAATAACAATCGTAACAGCATATCCAAAAATCAAATCAAAACAAAATTGATGACAGTGATCTTTCAAATAAGATATAAAAATTTTTAGATAAAAGAGGAAAGAATATATTTTAAAAAAAGAATATTATACTATATTTTTCATAATTTATTAAAATTAAAAATTTATAATTAGAATGAAAGCATATTCTCCAACAACTATGGAATTTAAATAGTTTTAGAAAAACATTTTCCTAGTGGCAATGTAACATTTAAGTAAAGTTGATATAAAAGAATTTTACTCACCACTATAAACAAATAATGTAATCAAATATATAAAAGGTTAGATATACAATCTTGAAATCTAGCATAAGTTTTATAAAAAATTTTTTAGTTCACTAACATTGGAAAAAATAATTTTCTAACCCTTTAAATGCTGGAAGGTACGATTATATTTATGAATAAAATAAAAAATAAAGTGAATTAATTTGAAAAAATTAAAATGAAAGACTTTACAGGTAAATTTAAATTGGGTGAGTAGGAAGATTTAAAATTTACCGCCGGAACTGTTGGCAATGGTGCAGCAGAAAACTCTTCATTTGAATTTGTACGCTTGTTTAAATCTTGAAATTGAGCATATGCTGGTTTCCCAACATCACGGATAAAATTAGCCTACAATAAAATTTTTTTTATAAATATGTAATAAAAAATTTAATAGCAAATAAAATAAATAGTAATATAATACAATCTATAAAGAATCATCTATAAATAGAATTTGTACGCTTGTTCATATCTTGTAATTGAGTATATGCTGGTTTCCCATCATCTTGGATTCAATTAACCAGAATAAAGTGTTAAAAATAAATATATAAATGAAATATATAAATTTATTAGCAAATAAAATAAATATAAATAGTAATGTAGTACAATCGATAAGAAATCAATTATAGAATTTGCATGCTCATTCCAATCTTGTAAATAAGCATATGCTGGTCCCCGAACATCACGGACAAAATTAGCCTAAAATAAAGTTTTTATTCTAAACATCTTAACGAAAAACATAATTATAGAAAATAAAATACATAGCAATGTAGTACAATATATGAAGAATCAATTATAAATAGAATTTGTATGCTTGTTCGAATCTTGTAATTGAGTATATACTGGTTTCCCAACATTGCAAATATAATAAACCTAAAATAAAGCTTTAATAATAAATATATAAATCAAAAAATATAAATTTAATAGCAAATCAAATAAATAGTAATATAGTTCTACGCATAAAACATCAATTATAAATTGTCTGAAATCTTTACTTTGAAATATGCTATTAAATTTATAATTTTCAAATATATAAATATATAATCATAATAATTTTAATGACTCCACTTCCGGAGATACTTCTTATTTGTATTGGACTGCAAGACTTCTCATGCTCAAAAGAACAACTGAAGGAAGTAATTAAAATAAATAATAAATTTAATAGCTAATAATATAAATAGTAATATAGTACATTCTAGGGATGAAACGAATAGTGATTTGGACGTATAGCCAAATATTCGGCCAAATACCGAATAGCAACATTATTGTAAAAAAATCTTCAATAAATATTATTTTTTTATATAGAAATAAGTTTAGTCATAATTGGAAAATAATCAAAACAAGACCTAACAGCATAACATTCCTTTACATCAATTATTGTTCTCAGAGACCACTAATATTTATTTTATGGAGATTCTAGACTAGAACTACCATAATTTTGAACCCTAGATAAATCATTTAATTTTTTTTCTAAGCAACTTTTGTTTCAGATGAATTAAAAATCTTTAAGGTTGATGGCCATTGGAATAAGGAAAGTATGAATTGGCCAATTTAGCACACCTAATAAAATATATGGTTTGCCTCATTAGGTAGATTAGGTGAAATGTTTACCTGTAATGCGAAGGGGCCATTTAAAGTAGTTTTTTGAATGGTAAGTAAGTCCCGTGGCAAAGAAGAAACTCCTATTTCTTCCAAGTCAGCTGACAACCATTGATTATACACACACTCTTTCAGACTACTTGAAGATATAGCATCCTATAAGAAAGATAGTCTTTAAAAATTTAAATGAATAAAAAGCTAGTACTACATATATTCTGAACAAAATAAAAGTATTAAAATGCTATAACGCAAATAATTAAAAAGTCTGCAATACAAGTAATGCAATAGTTGTAAGTTAGGAGAATGAAAAATATTGTTTTGATAAAACAACATTTACAGTTTGAGAACCATTATTTCACACAAATGTACAGTGTGCGAAATAAAAAACGAACCACCCTGAATAACTTTTGATCTAATGATTGGATCTTCACGTTCTAGGACTCAATCTTAAAGGTACGAGGGGGAGGCCTCAAATATGGTAATTAATTAGATCAAACGATATTTTAAATTACTAAATCAGGAAAAAAATGTACTTCCGCTCCATAAACGTACCTTTCTTTGACAGATTCAGATTTCTGACCCCAAAAATGTAGGGGGCAGTCACAATCTGGCAAATATAGTTCTTACAGTTTGGTCAGGAGAGCATTATAATGTTTGAACCCCTTAATGTTAATTGAATTTTTTGCGTATTTTGTCACATCTTGAGAACTTTCTAAGCAAACTAAAAAAATTTTGCCCACAATTATAAAATTCGGTAATCCAAAGATAATTCCATAGAAAAAAATAACTTGTAGTAAGTAGTTATGCATTAATTTTATTGTATAATTTAATAATAGTATAAAATTTTTACATCATTCTAAAAGAGGTACATGACAAAATACAAAATTTGAGTGAAATCGGTCAAATAGTATCTGAGAAATTGAATGTTAAAAATAAAATTATATCAAAACTTTTATTAATGACGTAAAAAGTTTTATATTATGTTACAATTCAAAAAAATATAAGAGCTGCATTATCTTTCTCTTTCATGCAAACTTCAACAAATACAGTTAGAAAAATGCATGCTCCCAAATTATACACAAATAACTTTTTCTGAAACTTCTACAGCAATAGTCCGATATTATGGAAAAAGTTTAATGATTAAATAGTAAATATAATTGGTAAACATTTTCAAGAATATTCCAAACAATATCATTATTATTAAATTTGATTTTACTGTTTGCTGAAATTCTTTGGTTTGGTCATTTCCTTTTTCTGATGATTTAGCCTCTTTTAACATTTCTGATTCTTCTTAATCACCACATGCAAAAACATTATTGTTTAGAATTACCAAGCCCATAAGCAATGAGGGGGGGGGAGAGAGACAATTCAGGGGTCTGTCCAGACCGAATTTACTACCGTTTAGCGGTACTTTCACAAATTCAACTTTAGGAAAAACGGTAGTTTCACAAATTTAATTTTAGGAAAAACGGTAGTTTCACAAAATATTTTTCTTAAAATTTTATTTTTGTATTCCATAAAAAATGATAAATCCATATTCTTGCCATATTTTTGTGTTGGATTTTTAAATATAATTTTTAATTTTTCACAAATTATGTCTAAATTTTCACAAAATAGGTACCTGTCAGAAAAACCTAGACAGACCCCTGCAATTGTCTCAGCGCCCAGACTAAATACAAAAAATTTAACTGCTTCGAATAAATTTTTAAAAGGATACTGAGGAGAATTCTTTCATACGGTAGAAGATTTTCATAATGCAAACTTCAAAACTAGAGGCTTTGTTTTTGATTTACTTTTGTGTTATAATTTTTTTTTTTTACTTATCTTTAAACTTACCAACTAAAGATAACAATAACTGTCTGAAAGAGATTACCTCCTACAGATTAGCTACTCACAAAATATGCACATAAGAATTTATTATTCAACGAAAAAAAAATTTCTGCAGCATTTGAATGAGCAACAAACAAATTCCTCAATTTTGCTTTACTTAACGTTTGAAGCTCTAACCACTAAGCAAATAATATAAAAAGTTAATAGTTTTTACTTAGTTACAGAAATTTTTTATTTCACAAAACTAGTGTGGTTCATGGAGAATGGGGTTATATAGTTCAACTGTAACTATAAATTTACAAATATAAAAGATCTATGTATCTACAATTTTGAATAAATGTTCTTCAAAAATTCTGCAAATTATAAAAATAAGATTTCATATGCATTTAGAAAGGAGATCTCACAGTAAATTACTTGTATTTAGCCTTAACAGAACTACTTCCTCGAAAATATTAATATCCTTTGTATTCAGAAAATAAGTGAGTTCTTTCCTAGTTTATGTACAGACATTTTTAACCATTCATATACCTTGTAAATCTACTTTTTTAGGAATAGATAATTCCAGAGGTTTCCTTTCACAGATGGTAATCTCTTTCTTATTAGAATTTCATGAAGTTATCAAAGAAAAGTTTTTAAGAGTTGGAATTCAAAGATGCATTTTATAAATGGGAATAGTTCAGTATCAATATCTGTTTGTGCCTACTACATTAACCAAGGCCCCAAAAAGCTTTTGAACTTACAAAAATATGTTATGATTTACCTGGAAGATGCTACAAGTTATACTTTCCAAGTTGGTCTGCTTTTGTGCTTTTTACTATTATTATTTATTCATATAAAAGTTTCTTGCAAGCCTTGATAATTGTTTTGGCTTAGATACGGATACAGAAAGGACTTCCCTTTTAAATTCTTTAGAAATCAGGAGACAATAGAAGTACTTAATTTAAGTAACACAGAAATCAGGGGGAAATTTTGTTTGACCAAAATATTTTAGTGAAACTCGAGTATATTCGATTTAATCAGATTTTTTTCTTATAGCAGACACATATAGAGAATCCATATTATTTTTCTGTGATATTGGAGTATGATTAAAGATAACAAGTTTTTAGTTATTGATTACACAAGTTATAATTAAAGATTACAAGAGAATAGCTTAGATGATTAAATTTCAAATTATGAATTTCAGTAATTAAAGAAACAATATTCACAACAGAAAACATTATTTAGGACTCATATGTTTTATATAATTCAGTATTTATAAACAAATGATGTGAAAGAAAACACTGAAAATTACAATTTGTTCTTGCTTAATGAAATCAATACAGGCTTCAACCCACTCCGATGATGTCGTTATGAAACGTGTTTTTAAAAAATTTTTGACTTCGAGAATTTCAAATGAAGACATTATTTAAAAGGCGTAAATTGAAGATTTTATTAAACCATTATATTATATGAAAATTAAGAGTTTGGTTAGTGTAAGATCATTTCTTACAAATCCACGGAAACAATAATGCAAGAATCATAATTTTCAATAATATAATGCCAAACTTTATTTTAAATCATTTTTCTAAGCATATTAAGTACTTAAACTTTATAAATATTATGAAGTCTATTTTCAATTTTCAGTGCAAGACCGAAACAATAACAAACCGAATAAAGCGCTGAAATTTACAATGAAAGTTACAGTTAAATTATTAAAGAATATTCAATGTCAAAACTGGCTGTTCTTTTTTGGGTTAAATTTATAAAATATAGCTAAAAATGAAATAAAAACTAACCAATTTTATTTTTTTAGAATTAAATAAACAAATTATAATAACGGCAAACAAAAACTGCAACTTTGTTTTGTATTTCAATAAATAGTCAATAGATGGCACTGTTGTATTGGATATTTGCTCAATGAATTTTATTGGAGAAATATTTTGTGTCAGCCATAGACAGAGGGGGTCTGTTGAAGTCCGTGGATCAGCATAATAATCTTACAACAATAGTAGTTTTAAAGAGTTTAACCTCCCTTTTAGAATTCAGATAAATACAGGGTCACTCAAGGTGTCCTAGAGCACATTCCTCCTTTTTGTTCTGTGCCTATCTCATTTGCTTTCCTTTTTTTCTTTTTACATCAAGCATTGAAGATTGAAGCATAGCTTCTCACACTGCTTAAGAGGACGCGATACTCAGATAAAAAACCGGAATTGGCAAAATCAGAGTTGTAATAGTCACACAAATGCTGAAAGAATTTTTTCAAAATATCAAAATGCAAAAAAGTTATTAGTAAATGAAGCTCCCATATCCCATAGAAAAAGCATTAGCTGCTGGCATTCAGAGGGTAGGTATTGCGTCCTCTTAACTACGTTGTATTGTTACATGTAATGTAATATAATAAGTTCAGATTCAAGCGCAGCATTACCACATCCGGCACTTGCACGAAAGTAATTTGTCAAACTTGAAATGTTTGACTTCAATTTAAATTTTTACCAATAGTGAATTTTAAGTATAAAAAAAAAATCATTGAAATAATTCAAGAATATTTCCATTTTATGTAAAATGCTTTAAAAACTATTTTACTGGAATATTTTTATTTATGTAAAATGATTTTAAACATTTTCATTCAATTACTTTAGAAAAAAAGATGAAATAGCTTTTTAATTTAAATCCTGCAGATTGTTACAAGGATTGCAGAAATGTGTGCGCACTTTAATGTTTTACAATTTTTTCTATGACTAGAACAGATTTTAGTTTAAAAGAAATATTTGATTATTTTTTTCTAAATAAGCTTGTAAGAAAAGAAAAAAAGTGTACTTTGAATAAAAAAATTTTAATTGCCTTTTTCTTCTTCTTTTAACTAGCCTTGTGTTAGTACTACACTGATCTAATTTTGCAAATAACATAAATTAGACACACTTTCTTTCATCATACGATAATTTTAATAAGTTCTTCGTTCCCTTTTTTTTATTTTTTTTTTTTTAAATTTGAATTTTAAAAAAAAAAATCATTTTGACAAATGACGGTTCAAGGGTTCTTTTAATCAATAAAGGATGCCTGCGTGAAATTTGTCAGCAATGCCAGCAGCAGATTTAATTTTTATAATTATAACACACAATCATAAAATTTTACGTAACTTGCTCTATTTTCTATTTAATATAAAAAGAGTCCAAGGGTAAAAAAATTTAAGTTGCATTTTGAAAGTGTTCAAATTTTTAAAATTAAGAGTTTATAGTAAGTAAAATGCTGTTTTATTCAGTCAAGTCTTGATCGAAGTTTTCTTAGAAAAAAATATTAGTAAACGGCTTCCTGGTGCTTCTTAACCGAATTTCATACATTAACTCAAGTAAGAAGTATTGATTTATACGGTCTTCAAATATGACATTGTTTTAGTTATCTTCTATAGTTTTTATCATGCGATAGCACCATCGCACTATTATTGTTTCTTATTGTATAAAACAATCCTGCCACAGCCCTTTGAAGACTAGGGCGTATCGTATAGATATTAAAGCTTCACAATTTCGTGACCCATGGCATATTGGTAGCAATGCAGCATTACGCACCAACCATCTTAACTTCTCAGACAAGCTGGTACACATCATACTGAAGCTGAGTAGGTTTCAAGCTGTCACCCAAGCTAGAACCTTAATTCTTCACAATACGTAACAGTTCAGTATCTTAATCTCTGAGCCATCGCGGCTTGTAGGTAGGTACTAGGTAGATAGGTACTTTATTTACGTCGCACTGGAGCTGCACAATGGGCTATTGGCGACGGTCAGGGAAACATCCCTGAGATTGATTTTAATACATGCAATCGCAATTTTGATCTTTTGCATAGGGAATGGCTCCTCTGCTTTGGTAGCCCGACGACCTGCAAGCGAAGTCGGGCACTTTACGGTAGAACAGTTTATCGAGCACCAATGCCGCTAACCCTCGGTCCCTAGGCAGGCTGATCAAAGTGGTCACCTCACCCTCCCGCTTACTGACGGCAAACAGTGATGCTTGACTTCGGTGTTCTACCGGGAAGCGTGTCTTTACGATGAGTCCACTGCTGGACCCATTGTGCGGCTTGTATTTCTTCTTGTATGTTCTTTATTTCTTACAGATTTTTACCATTTTTAAACTCTCTTAATACAGTTTCTATTTGAGCCGGGATTAAAATGTGCTTTTATGAGCTCAAAAAACTAAATTTTTCATGAATGAAGTTATCATTATTGCTATATTATAGTGATGAAAAAGATATTTAAAGAATAATCAGATTAAAGTTCTGGAATGGAATCCCATTTCTCTAAAACGTGCAAAATCGTTTAGGCTTTACTACACCTCTACATGGCATAGATTAAATGGAAAATTATGATGATGAAGATGGGGTGGAGCGGATATACTGATTTATTTTTATTGACAACAGATAATTGACATCCTAAGGAAACCCTGCGATGTCTGAAGTATCTAGGGACCTTTTCCGAGCTCTTCGTTGATAAATAACGATCATTTTCTTGCAATGTATACATATATTTTTCATATAGCCTAAATACTCCTTTAGTGCAATACGTATATTATACATATACCTTATCAATTCGTGCAATACATACTTATACCCAGAATTAGAAATTTCACTTTCGTGCAATACATAGTCATTGCATCATTTTCGGGCAATACATTTGTGCCCTAGTGGGATTCGAACCCGCGACTATTAGTTTTGCAGTCAGACTCTCTGACTTCTTGGCCATCTGGCCGGCTATCAACAAAGATAAAATCAAAAGCTCCTCCTTCTCCTATCTAAATTAGAAAATTATATCAATCTTCTCCTTTAACATTGACTCCTACTGTTTCACTGTAATAGTAGAATTTTAGGATGCAATAATCCTACAGTAGTAATCTAATTTAAAATTAAACTCAAATAAAAGACGTAATTTTGTATAAAATAAAATTTACTTTTTCATTCATTCATTTCATGAAATTCTGAGAAAAATGTTTTAAACGAATCTTTCGTGTTTTTAATTTTTGGTGTTGAATGCTCTTGCCATTTGAAACTACTTGAATGAATTTTTTCCCCAAATCTTCAATTTCAAATTGGAAAATTTTCCAAGTGTAAGATTTTTTCATTGAATTTTGAAATATTGAAAGCAAGGGCGTTTTAGTGTCTTACGTATGCATTGCTGATTGGTTGCATGTGCATATCCTCATCCTTTCCAATGCATCCTCATCCTTTCCTTTAAAAGAAAAAATAAGCAAATCTCAAAACCTCCTCCTCTTAAAGTCCTTCGCAATAATTGAGCGGCCACTTGCGAAAAAATGCAAAATGGGATAATTCAAACACAGTGACGAGTTTTAAAAATGATGAGTAAAGGTTAAAATAATTCAGTTATCGTCTTCTGTCATTTAGATTTGCTTAATAATTTTTTTTCTTCCCACATTTGTAAATTTTTTTTCCTTCCAAGTATGGCTCACACTGCCTTACATGATTTCCAGACAAAGCCTTGAAGTGTACAAAACTAAGAACGGAATATCAATATAAACCATAAATACCGAAATCATGATTTACATTAAGGATAGGATTCGTTTTCAATTTGAGAGATTGATAGACATAAGTGAATAAGAGTACAGCCTTTAACTTCAGTAGAGAATACCGGGTAAGGTATGTAGGATGTACCGGGAAGTGTATCCATTGTGAACAATTTTTCTTACCTTAATACCCCACTTTTGCGGTTTTGTCCATCACTGTTTTGGACTCGTGGTTTTGTCCTAGAAGAAAGAAAGCCTTAGCACGGGTTACCATAAATGAGAAATCCGATTTTTTAGTAGTCCGAATATTGTAACATCTTTCTCATTTTCTCCCCACTGCGCATTTTATGCTCGTTACGTCGGACTACTAAACTGATACATGCGGAGTCATCTAGGCTTTCTACTCTTACACCGACTTCCTTGAAGTTTAACAAAAATAATAAATATACATATAAATAAATAAGTAAATAAAATAAAATAAAATAAAATAAAATAAAATAAAATAAAATAAAATAAATAAAAAATGTAAGACAATTACACTTTCAAATCCCAGAAAAGTAGAACCATAAAATACAGAATCCTTTATTCATATGCAGATGCCAAGTTAACACGTCAACAAGTGTAAACGGTTGAATGGTTCTCAAAAACGGTTGCAGAAGCAATTACGCAAGAACATCACGACCTGTTCGAAAAAAGAAACTTTCCCGACTGATGGGCGGCAAAAATAATATGTCACCTTCCACCTCGTACGCATTTTCATGCAAAAACAATGGCGATGCATTACATATCTGACAGATCTTAGCTTCTTCACAATGGATGATGGCCCCAAGCTAATACTGCTGTTGAACTTGACCATTTATGTAATGATGAGAAAAATCCGTGACGCCGTACTGGCCATTTTTCTTTTCTCACTAACCCTTTAGTGGCTGTTTGATTCTTTGGTTAATTGCTAATAATGTTCTTAGTTCGTTTCTTTGTTGCTGATGGTGACAATTAGGTGAAGAATATATGGGAATATTTGTGCTTAAATTTGCTGCAGATTATTGCTAACAGTATTGTTGAATTATCATAACTATGATAACAGTAATTATTCTCAGTAAACACAAAAGAAATTTTTTATTATTTTATTGTGCTTTAATTTCATTAAAATATTATCACCCATTTTTTCTTTCAAGTCAGTAAG